TATATATACATTAAATGTAGGTTATATACGTACTTCTGTATGCTGCTATCAGATTCGCATATACCTTATATGGGCTTTTAGTAGATTAATTTGATTGCGTTGTATTTCAAGGATGGGGCATTAATTCCGTCTTGTATGGATTTTTTAGCTCATTCCTTTGCACCCTACGTATGCTTCTAAAGTATTAGCACGAATAGACATTGTTTATATATTTGTTTATCATACGGACTTTGATCCATATTCGGTCAGTGTAGTGTTAAGTGTACGTGTATTATTGTGCATATTTAAGTATGCAGGAGTATCGAGTTTTGCCTTCCTTACAAGTCACGTTTGTTTTGTGGTTCGTAGTATGTAATGGATGTACCTGTAGAGGCGTTGATATGTGCGTGTCGATGTATATGTCTATATAGCTGTATATATTCAATATATCCATCTATTCCTACGTATGAATATGTGTGCCATATCGGATTATTGTTTTATAAAATGTCACATACATGAAACAATAGGCACAGTTTGAACGCGATAACCTTTTATTAGGGACGGGGGATGGGTTCTGGTCAGATTGGGCACAAGATACGGATCACATTATTGAGTTTCAGTATATGTATATTTCAATATACAAACAATCGGCAAACAGATAGGTTTCATGTGTATGCAATTGCTACGTCTGTTGGGAGAAGCAGTTAAAGTGTTAATTTGTTCTTCCGTCACAGTCTTCAAAAGAGAAAGCAGAGGAGGATGCTATGTGGAATGACGATGATAAGAAACTAGCAAAAGCTGCAGCTAAAAAGGTATATCATTTCTAGGCTTATATTAGCTGCATATGGCTACATAAAAAGTATGTTGAGTGCATTTCATCCATGTGTATACAATGTTATATGCTACATAAACGTATATATCTAAACCTATACACACACACACACACACACACATATATATATATCTATATATATATCTATATCTATATCTATATCTATACACACACACACACACACACACGCGCGCGCGCACACACACACACGCATATATATATATATATATATATATATATATATATACACATACATACATATATATATATATATATATATGTGTGTATGTATGTGAGTGTGTGTATGTGTGTATACGTGTGAGTATATATGTACATGCATGCATGTGTATATGCATCTAAATATATATAGGTATAGGTAGGTATGTATTGTGTATCTATAATGTTTTGAACCGTTGAGTGTCAAAATACGAGCCGACGATTGAAAGGAAACCGTCGAAAAAGCTTAGAGGTGAAAGCAATGCTGTAAGCAGTTGAAGGTACTCTTGCAATCAACGTAAAGAAATCACAATCGCATAGCATATACCTATACGTACACATCTATATATATATATATATATATATATATCTCTCTCTCTTTCTGTGTGTGTGTGTATGTATATATAGATATAGGAGACTATCTGCAAATAGAATACCGCGCGACAGTTGTCCCTCGACTAACCTACTGCATGTTAAAACATAGGCCGATGACGAGAGGAAGAAGGCCGAAGCCGCCGCTAAGAAAGCGGAGATGAAGGCTTTGCTGAAAGCAGATGAAGAAGCACTCGCGTTAAAGCCAAAGAAGGCGCCGGCGCAGAAGGTCACACAGCACGAGTTGCACACAAAGAAGGTCAAGGCTGAGGAGGCCGCTCGCTTGGCACAGATTGAGAAGGATCGACAGAATGGGATTGTCACACAGGACCATCTGGAAACCTTTGAGAACCAGTGAGTGTGTGTGGTGGGGGGGGGGGTACGGGGATGTGTGTCTTCGCTTAAGTGCGTCTTCGCTTAAGTGCGTCTTGTGATCTGTGAATTCGCATTCATATGTTCAGTACAAATTGTATAGTCATGGCGAGATCCTTGGTGGATGTAGAGAGTATTTTTCCGTTTGTAGGTATGAGCAGGTGGCGCTATTGTGTATGCAGGCGGTATCTGTGGTGTGAGGGTGGTTTGCGCGTGTGATCATGGATAGAGAGTGCCGTCCCGAGCGTTTAATAGCGGACTGTGCATATTCCGAGTGTATGATTTGTGATTTCGTAGGTGAATAAGTGATTTTATTATTATTCCTATACTGTGTGTGTACTTGCCGTGGTGGTATGTAGTTATTCGGACTGGAGTTCTGCAGCTGTTAGTTGCTGCACTTTCATTGCTGATACGCTGTACTGAGAAACATTGGAAGAATGGTTGATATGTACAGAGGTGCTCAATACGAAGCCTGTTTCCTTTTGCCCCAAGTTTGCTGTTATAATCACTTTATTCTATCATCACCCAGGTTACTCATTTCTCCGTTCTACCCAACCCTTCAGGAATCGAGAGCTCGCCGAAGAACGTGCTGACGGTAGTGTGATGGCGACTGGACTGGATGCAGCCATCACGGACCTCTCAATCGGTGTAAAGTCTAAAACAGCCAAGGTATGCGTGCTTGACTGATATAGACTTCAAGTTTGTGTGATTTCTAGTATTCTACGCTTTATGTTGAAACGTAGAATTTGACAAGCTTGGGTATTTTCCAAATTCTGCACGAATTCGATCGGGCGTATTTTAGCTCGTCTCCCGTTTTCGGGCGCACATGATGCCAGCTTATATATATATATATATATATATATAGCTATATACACA